ATGGGCTAATCCAGAAGTTTATTTATTATTCCAGATGGGAAATGGAACCCTGCATCCGCTACCTTTAGTGCCGTTCACTATATAACAAGACTGGACATGTTCATGGACTGCTGCCTTCTCTGTGATCAAAATAAGTTTGAAATCCCCGTCAACCCCTATTTTTTTTTTTGTTTGTTTCTTTCTTTTCTTTTTCAGGTTCACATGGGCACTCACATGTGGAACAGTACTCCTGCGAGACGAGGCAGACGACTTTCTGTAGATGGCCCCATGACATTTCTAGGAGGCAATCCTGTAAAGTTCCCAGAAATGTTTCAGAAGGATTTGGCTGCGCGGTCAGGGAATGGAGACCCCTCTAGCTTCTGGAACCAGTACGCAGCAGCACTCTCCAATGGCTTGGCCATGAAGACCAACGAGATCTCCGTCATCCAGAATGGTGGCATCCCGCCAGCGCCAGGGGGCCTGGGCAACGGTGGCAGCTCTCCCATCAGCGGCTTGACAGGAAGCCTGGAGAAGCTCCAGAATTCAGAACCCAATGCACCTCTAGCTGGTCTGGAGAAAATGGCAAGCAATGAAAATGGGACAAACTTCCGTTTTACGCGTTTTGTGGAAGACAACAAAGAAATTGTAACGAATTAGAAAAAAACTCCATAAATAACATTCCTGCAAATAGTGCAACCTAGGGTTGCTTTTTTCAAGCTGCAGGCTACAACATTGCAAAGACTTTCTTTTGTACCATGTTCTACTTCTAGAGTTCTAAGAGAGCTTATTTATTAGTGATATAACCTTGCTTTGCAAAAAAATGCAAGCATTAACTTTGGTCTCCTGTATTTTGAACTAAATACTAATCGACTAGAGTGCTGTAAACTTGCTGTAACATTTATGGCAGTTGCAAGTCTGTTCTGCTAGGTGATCTTATTCTGGCATTAACTTATTTTCTATATCCAGTTTAACATGAACTCTGGTATTGATGCGATGCCTCAGTGATGCATTAGATCTCTAATAAAAATCTGTATATAAATGTACACTTTGATCCTGCTGGAAATTTTATCAGCAAACACATTGTTTAATTTTTCCAAACAGAATTAAGAAAAGGACTGAAAGAATATAGACTGAACAGTGTGGGTCCTTTACACAGCTCAGTTTTTGATTTTTATTATAAAATTAAAACTGCTTTAATTTTTGTAGGTTTAACATTTTCCGTTTCAAACTGTTATTTGTATTGTGCTTTTTACTTGAGTCGTCTTAAATGTTAATACGTTTCTGTACAGTAATAAGCACGCAGATTATTAGAGAAGATACTGAAGTGTTGTTTTGGTAGTTGAAACTGAGACGTAACATTTTGCCTTGTAGGTATATTCATTATAGAAAATGTGCTGGACTTTCACAATGCTGCTAAGTATGGCATCTTGAACAACTTCCGTGGACAACTGTAGATGCTCCTGTATATACAATAAGACATCACTTTCATTAAAATGTACATATGTTCCTTACAAGACCAAGCCCTACTCCTTGACCAAGGGAACAAGTATAGTGTTTGTTTATTTTGTATTAGGTATTGGGGGGGGCAGGGGGAACCTTGGACTGTTACATGCACTTTCTTGGAAAGTTGAAAGGAAAAGAGGTCCAGTTTCTTTAACATTTAATTCTTACTAACAGCAGAGATACTGTAATTTTACTCGAGTAATCAAATACATTTTTGCAACAGATAAAATTCGCTGTCTCTGTGTTTTTAAAGTGTACCTGTATTTAGTAATCACTTTGTATTATTTAGCCTTTCCCTTGGTTAACATGAACTGTCCAGGTTGTATGTGTGTGTTTATATTTGTAAGTATGGGTATACATATATGTATTGCATATTAATTGCTAGTATATTTTTCATACCCCCTAATAGTGGGAAATTTCTCCTTAACTATTCAAGTCCTCATCATAAAATTGTAGATATTTTGGCATTTTTAATTTCTATATTAAAAAAATGCTGCTAGCAAAGACCTTATTAAGCCTAGGTGAGTTTCCTTTGAAGGAAATAATTTATCACATTTAAGGCTTGATTTGGTTCAAATGCTTTATATTTGATATTAATTTTATTCTACGAGACTGTATGTTTGTGGCATGCTTACGCTGCTATATCTGTGTTAAGATGTCCACTTGCAAGCCTCCATATATTATATGGGGTTTATAACTTGATTTTAAAAAAAAAAAAAAAAATAGCTTTGGCCTTGCACATGATTTGGCTTCCCTTATGCACCTGCAATGATCATTAACCTCAGTGGGAGTTTGGGGAAACAGAATTCAGCCCAATATTTTCACCCAGTAGAGTTTTATCTCTTCACATGATTGTTTATGAAAAATAAATCAGTTTGGCTGCCTTCAAATTGTTCCTTCAAAAAACCCAACAGGACTAACGGATTTTATGTTCATGTGAATATTTATATATATATATATATATTTACAATTCCAGCATTCAGGTATTTTGTGTTTTAATATCAGCGTGGGGTGAGCTGCTTGCCTTTTTAAAGAAGTAATTGCTTTGCTCTTCCCCCTAGTAGCTTGAGTTGTCAATTGGGCATCATAGAGGATTTATGAACACTGAAAAGCTGGGGTGAGAAACACTTCTCTTGAGGGCTTTTACCCTTCATATGATTATGAACCCTTAGTAAAGTATTAACGCTGTAGTCTGAAGACCTCTTGGACTTCATGTCTTAGAACTTTTTCCTGTTCGAATGTGATGATTCATCTGGTACATGATATGCATTTTTGTTAACATGTAAGTTGTACACTAGAGCCAGCTGGCTTGTCAATGTGAATATTTAAGAATTTCAAGTCACCTTTTGGTCTCAGAAAAAAGGTAAATTAAACGGAGTTTGATGATTTTATGAATGAAACACTAACTAATTCTCCTTTTAAACTGAGCTTAGATTTGTGCAACAGAAAAGCAAGGAAGGGTTAGCAGACCCCCGTGCTCTGGGAGGGTTTCTTTCACGCTGCTCGAGTTTCGTTAATGGCTTTAACTCCAGCCCTCGGAACCTCTTCTGGGCGTTAAAGCCAAGCCTTTGGGTGCTGAGGACTTTCAGCCCCGCCAGGGAACGGGCAGAGGCCCGTCCCGGCCGGGGTAGCCGCTCCCGGGGCATTCGGGCCCCGCATTCGCGAGCCTCCTCGGGCACCCGGACGCTCGGTAACGTATGTATTTGGCGTTTTTCAGAGGAGGAAACAAACCCAGCGATTTTCTCTCTAGTATTTCAGGTTCTGGGGTTCCCCCCCGTCTGCCCGTTCCCTCAGGCGGCGCGCGCCCGCCCC